CAGGGGGACAGCAGCCCCCGGAGAGGAGAGGGCATGGAGCCCCCAAAGTTGGGAGCGCCTGATAGGGAGGGGACCCTGCAAAGCACCTCAAAGCCCAGCCAGGGTGCACCTGGCATTAAGAGGCAAAGAATCCGGTTCTCCACCATCCAGTGTCAAAAATACACCCACCCCGAGGGGTCCGAGAAGATCTGGACCAGCAGCACGTCCTCCGACACCAGTCAGGACCGGTCACCCTCGGAGGAAAGCATGTCGTCAGAGGCCACCCCTGGCTCGCTCCCTGCGACCAGCGACGCAGACACCTACCTGTCCATAATCCACTCCTTGGAGACCAAGCTCTACGTCACGGAGGAGAAGCTCAAGGATGTGACGGTGAGGCTGGAGAGCCAGCAGGGCCAGAGCCAGGAGGCCCTGCTCGCGCTGCACCAGCAGTGGGCCGGCACCGAGGCAGGGCTCCGCGAGCAGCTCCGCGCCAGCCTGCTTCAAGTCGGGGCGCTGGCCTCCCAGCTGGAGCAGGAGAGACAGGCCAGGGCCAGAGTGGTAGAAGACCACGTCGGGGAGCTTGGTGGCTTCCAGGTGAAAAACAGCCAGGCACTGGCTTGTCTGGAAAGCTGCCGGGAACGGCTGCGGTCTCTGCCGGGAGCCGTCCCGGAGGTGGAGGCCGGGGCAGCGGGGGCGGGGCCCCTGGCCAGCGTGGAGAGCTTGCTCGTCAGCGCCATCCAGGCCCTTGGGCACACACAGCGGGAGGAGGAGGGGCCCGCAGCTGCACCGCAGCCGCCCCGCCTGCCGGAGCTGAGCGAGCAGGAGCAGCTCAAGCTGCTTTCTGACCAGATGGCTCTGGAAGCCGCGCTCATCGGCCAAATAGCGGAGTCCGTGAAGCGCACGACCTCGGATGTCGCGCACGTCCTCTCTGAGGTTTCTCAGTCGAGGAAGGTGCTGCTGGACTCTGAAAGTGGCGCAGGGTGGCCCAGGGCCCCGGCAGACGCCTGGGCCAAGAAGGTGCTGGTGGACGGAGAGTTCTGGAGCCAGGTGGAGTCCCTGCGCGAACACCTGGAGATGCTGGGTGGGGAGGCAGCCCGCACCTCAGGTGGCGGGCAGCAGAGCCCCCCGCCGGGCCTGGGCCCCACCCTGGCCGATGCCACGTGGGTCAGGGCAGAGCTCAGCTTCGCCATGCACTCGGTGAGGGAGGCCCTCCAACGCAGGTTGCAGAGTGTCCAGGAGACCTTGCAGGGGACCCAGGCAGCCCTGCAGCAGCACAAGCGTCTGCTGGGGGACATCTTGGGAGCCTACCAAACCCCCGACTTCGAGAGAGTGATGCAGCAGGTCTCGGAAGCCCTCGAGCCTCTAGCAGGCGCTGGAGACGGGGTACAGGCATCCTGGGGCTTGAGCCCAGCGCAAGTACTGAGCTGTCAGGACACGGGGGGCTCCCAGGAGCTCTTCCCCTTGTCCAGCCAGAGCCCGGGGGCCCTCGTTGCTGTTCAGGAGGAGCTCGCCCTGCAGCTTAAAGACAAGGCCAGCCTCCTAGGGGAGATCTCTGCCGCCTTAACCTCGCTCCCTTCCGCGGAGCCACTGAGGGACTGTCAGCAGCTCCTCCAGGCATCCCGGAACCTCTCTCAGGACGCTTGCTTGGGAGGCCTCAGTCAGTATTCATCCTTATTAGTTCAAGATGCGATTGTTCAGGCTCAGGTGTGCTATGCAGCCTGCAGGATCCGGCTGGAGTATGAAAAGGAGCTCCGGGGTTGCAGGGAGTCCTGGCCAGGTGGGGGGGCCTCCTGCCAGGAGCAAGAGCTGGCTGTCGGGGCCCTGAGGGAGGAGTATGAGGAGCTTCTCCGGAAGCAGAAGAGTGAGTACCTGGACGCGATTGCCGTCATAGAAAAGGAGAACGCAGAGCTCAAGTCCAAGGTCACCCAGCTGGGCCATCAGCAGAAGTGCCTGGAGGAAGTGGAGGGCAAGCACCTGTCTGCCCTGCAGAGGGGGCACGAGGGGGAGATGCAGTGTGTGCTGGAGGAGGCCGAGCACAGCAGTGTCCTGAGCCAGCTGCACGCCTCCGTCAGAGACAGGCAGGACCTGGAGAGGCACCACGTGGAGCAGATGCAGACACTGGAGGACAGGTTCCAGCTCAAGATCAAAGAGCTGCAGACAATCCACCAGGAGGAGCTGAGGGCCCTTCAGGAGCACTACTCACAGACCCTGCAGTGCCTGCAAGAGACCCTCCACCACTACCAGGGACAGCCCCCTGCAGCCCCGCCGGCCCCCGGCCCCCCGAGCAGCCCCCACCAGGCCCCCTCCTGCAGCCGGCCCACCGAGGGGGAGGCCGACTCCGTGATGGGGCTGAGAGCACGCATCCAGGAGCTGGAGGCCCAGGTGGACGTCCTGCGGGAGGAGCTGGAGCACAGGGGTCTGGCGGGCAGCGCAGCCTTGCTGCAGGAGGAGCACCAGAGGGACTTTGAGAGCCTCAAGGTTTCGAAGCAGAGCGAGTGGTCAGGGCTGAGGGGCGGGGGGTGTCTGGTGCATCTGGCCCTCGGGCGGGGCTGAGAGCGCGTTCTGGGCTCTGAGTCACTGAACAGGAGTTGACATTCTGTTCTTCCCTTGGCCTCTGGCTGGCTGTGGTGGGGTCTCTTTGCGGGGCCTGTAGCCTCCCTACTCTGCGCCCCTCTCCAGGCTGTGCAGAGCTGGACCTCAGGAGGGGGCCCCTCCCCCTAATGTCCTAGGACAGCAGAGCTGGGTTCCCAGAGGACGGGAGTATTTGCAAGATAGTGTTGAGGATCACTCCCCCACCCCAGCTCTGGGGGACTGGCGTCGAGGGGCAGCTTCTCTGTGTGGCAGTGGCTTTTCTTCCGAGTGAGCACAGCCTCACTTTCTCGGGAGTTTGGAGACGTGACCTTTCCTGTTTCACATCCCCCTGCGTTATAGGCAGGGCCCCCAGGCCCCGGCTCGCACAGGTGACGTTCCTGGGCCTCATGCGCCCTCCACCTCAAGTCAGGCCTCAGGCGTGCAGAGCCAGCGCCGGGTGCAGGGGGCCACTGTGCCTCTCCTGCCACCCCCGAGCTGCTGTGGCGGCCCGGGATGCCCCAGCGCAGGGCTGTGCTGGGCCCTGAGGCCGCTTTCACTGCTTTTTTCCTGAGCCAGTCAAACCTTTTGAAAAGTACCATGAATCACGAGGAAGCTTAAGGGCTGTTCCCAAAATGCAGCTCAGTGCCTCCAGCGGGCAGCACCTGAGCGTAGCCTTCAGAGCACCGGCTGCCTTTGAGAGTAACTCCCAGCAACTTTCCACCTCCCAGCAGGTCTGCACAGGAGGCAGCTCTGTCAGGGCCCAGATGGGCAGCTCACACCGGGGCGGGGGAGAAGAAACCCCCCTGTGCCAACGCAGGGCGCAGGCTGTGCCCCAGCGGCGATGCGGGCTGGGGGCTTGTATGCTGCTGGTTCTGTGCATCCTCCATCTCAGGCCCGTGCTTGTTCTTGTCTCCCCCAGGACACACGCAAAAATCACAACCAGACAGCTCCCTTAGTGGGCCTACGTGACAGCTGTCACTTGTGCAGAGTTTTGCCCAGGTCAAGGAGACCAGGGTCTTGGCCAGAGGGCCCTCAGCTAATAGCTGCAGGCTGGGGCCTTCCCTTACGACTCTGGGCAGTGATCATGGAGGAACTTTTATCGGTTCCTGGGATTACTTAAGATTTGTTTATAGAGCAATTGTTTTTTTAAACACATATGCTCTCCAAGGAAGCAGCCAGTCTTTAAAGACACCTTAGAGTTTCTGTAGCAAGAATTTTGATCTTAATCTGTAAATAGTCTAAAGCGTTCAAATCAAACTTAAGAGTCTTAGGACCTCTTGGCTGTGTGTTAGCTAAGAAACCGTGTTGAAGCAAAGAGTGCAGGAGGCAGCTCCAGAGCCCACCCAGCTCTCCTGGCTGGAAGGGCGGTGGGGGGAGATGGCCAGACTCCATACGGAGCCGCCAGGGGAAGGACAGCCGTTAAGACCTTGTCCCCAGTGCAGCAGGTCTGCGCAGGGTCCAGGCTCTGACCGTGAGTTTGACACACTGCCTGGAGAGTCTCAGAAAAGCCTCAAAGAGGCCTGCACACGGGGATTGGATTTCTTGGTATCCTTTCTTGAATTCATGTACAAGATGATGGACCAGACAGTATAGGAATTGGGGCGGGGAGGACATACATTTGGAATTAAAACGGCCACATTCTTCCAGAGCTTTAAAATCCCCTGAAAGGCCTGATCCTATTCTGAAACAGATCTTGCAAGGGTTTTAGGCAGGAAGTATGCCTCCATGCACAAAACAGCTGCACATGCCACGCCCCATGGCTGTGTGGCGAGCTCACCTGCTCCGTTGATCAGACCGAGTCTGATGAGCCAGGCCTGGGCAGCCCAGTGGGACATGTGGGATGGTCGGATGCCTTAGGGCCTGCCTGCGTCCTCCCCTACACTCAAGTCTAGGTAGCAAGCAGTCTAGGTGGTAGCAGGCACAGACAGTTTGACCGGCCACTCTTCTGTTGTGTCAGTGCAGTTAGTGGAGGTGCTGATTTATCAGTGCCCCTCTTTGTGACTCCTTCCTTTTCCTTTTGAAGGAGTCATGGTGTCTAATTCCCTGTGGACACCAGTGAGGTGGCAGCTGGCCAGTGGCAGGGCCGCCCCGCCGAGCTCTCCCGGGGTGACCCCTCATTCACAAGATGGCCTTGTCTCCCCGTGGCTGACAGACTGTTGTTGGTGCCCCAGCTGTGATGGTGCTGAGTGTGTCTGGCTGTGTCACGCAGACCACCGCGGCCAGCCCCTGAACGCTCGCTCCCTCTGCCCCTCCTGCCAGTCCTGCCTGTCGGCAGTTCTTTAAAGGCCCAGGATGGACTGCTTTAAATTCCACTGCAGCCTCTTCCTACCCACAGTACCCACCCCTCCCACAGAGAGAAGGGATTCCGAACCACCACAGTAATCAGGCAGAATACATGGTGTAAATGCGCTGAGAATAAAATGCACGGGGCACCAGTGAGTCCCCAGACAGCCGTCAGCGGCCCCGCTGGCATGGTGCTCTGCTCTAGAGAGCGTGTTCTCTGTGCCAGGAGCCTGGAGGGGCAGGGCCGCAGTTTGTTCATCAAACAATTGATTAGATTAAGCCCAACTCAGAGATGAGGAAAAATCAGTAAAGCCCCCTGTGCACCTCGCAGGCCACGTGTGAGCGAGGGTTTGCAGCCATGGAGGAAACGCACCAGAAGAAGATTGAAGACCTTCAGAGGCAGCACCAGCGGGAACTGGAGAAACTGAGGGAGGAGAAGGACCGCCTCCTGGCCGAGGAGACCGCGGCCACCATCTCAGGTAGGCGCTGGGCCCGGCAGCAGGTGAACCACTCGACCCTTCCTGAGCTGAGTGTGCAGCTCC